GCAATAGAAAAGGATATGATTCCTCCAGAGACAAAGAAAGATTCTGACTAGATCTTTGGCAGTAAAAATAAATGTTGGTATCTGGCTTGTGTACAGTCCAATATAGTGGGAAATGAAGACAACATATAGGGTATGAGTCATAAGATAAATCATAAAGTCACTTGAATATGCAGCTTTACACGACAACAACGGCTGTAAATGGGACATTGAGATAGGTAAATCACCTTGATAGATGGGTCGATTCATGGTGGCCATCCTAGGACAGTAGTGGATGCCTGAGAATGATTGAATGTGAACCTCGAGAGGCACAGGGCGCACCGAAGGTCTGAAATTAAACAGACCACGAGCAGCACATCCGAGAGAGATCAAGGCGTCACACCGACCACTGATGGGCACACGAAGCCAGGCAGCCAGGTCACCGGCGTTAGCAAGGGCTGTGCTCAGGCCAACCAAGCGCACTGGCTGGCAAAGCTGAGAAGCAATGAAGTTGGCCCGCGAGATGAGTACCTAAACATCCAGAGAGTTTCACAAGTAGGGCGACGCATCAGGAAAACGATTTAATAAAAAAAAGTAAGATACAAAATACATTTATTCGCACAAATTTACAATCACAACTCCAAGGCAAAACCGTTGAGCTTACTTCCATTTCAAGGTAACTAGTAAAATCTTAATTTGGTTGTGAAGATGATACCTTGCTCTGATGATGTTCGTCATGTGACGGACGAAAGCTTAGCACCTTTTCACCGGAATCAAAGAAAATCGCCTCGGAAAAAGCGTCACCATGAATGTTCCAGTAAAGTCAATCGACAGCTGGTAAAGAGGAATCCGCTGTCGTCTTCTAGTGAAATCAACCTACGAACCTCTTCACCCAATACTTTCACTCGAAATGGAAGTAAGCTCAAAATTATGAAACAAAAGATTCCTCGAAACCCGATTTTTCTTCGCATACTCAAGGCAATAAACCTTCGGCTTCCGGTGAGGCCGATTTACGAATCCCTTCCAATAGCCGTTTCAAACAAAATGAAATAAAAAACAAAGTAAACTTATCAAGGGACTATTCGGAGCCCAGCTACTCTTCAGATTATGGCATAATGCTTATCCTTCTTTCGAGCAAGTAAAATAGTCAACATTGTATAAAACCATCTACTTGCTTGCCTAGCTCTTGTTCTAATGCATCCAAAGGAAATCATAGTAAAATTTAAGATAATATTCCAAATATTTCAATAAATACATGTACAGTACATTAGAACTTATAATAACTCTCTATCTAGAATATTAATCGTCTTACTTCTAAAACTGGGCCACGTTCTTCACCAAGCAGATGAATCTCATCTATGACAATAAGGCCGATTTGGCGGACATAAGCCCGTTGCTGCCACGACCGTGAGACTCCGTCCCATTTTTCAGGAGTGGTTACAATCAAATCGGCACACGCCAGTCTGCCAAGGTCGGGAGTTACATCACCAGTTAACTCGACGACTCTGTATTTAGTCAAGAAGGCATTGATATATTAATTTTGAAAAGTCTCTTCTCATAGCTGGAGTTGGACATGAAACTAAGAGCATTTCCCGTTAAAACAGCACCCTCTTATTCTATGAGATGCGGGTGATCCCTCTGTTATGCATGAGATTTTCAGTCAATATTAAAGTCATTAATATAGTGATGCATGACACAACAAAGGATACAGTTTTGCAAAATCATAGCAGATTCTAAAAGAGCAGTTAAATGATAATATATAAAACTATACAAAACAAAAAGATGAGCAACCGTGCTTTAAAATAAATGCATTTATTTATAAAG